CACTAGTCTTAGGGTACGCGCTTTGCGCGTGTGCCCTATATAAGTGAGTATACGATCTTACAAAATTAAGTAATTATTATTAAATAATGTGTTTGAGCTATTGAACAAGAATTAAAAAATAAGTTCCTAAAATTGATAAATGTTGATCCAATTTAATTAGCTAGTTCAATAAATAAAGAATACTGCCCTGTAAAAATCTTTATATACTTTATTGTGATTTTTGATGACTTATGTAGGAATATATGATAAAAAGTGTTATTTTTTGTTACCTAATCCTGAAAATAAGTAACAAATAATACTATGATATAACTAATTTTGCTCTATTTTCTAATTTCTTTCATCGCTAGTGCTTTTCTTGTGGAAATAAATTTACGTTCTAAATATAGAAAAATAATTAAATGACTATTTTGTCGGACAACTATACAGAAAAATAATGAAAAATAAATATACAATTCATTGTAGTTGTAAACAAGGTAAATAATTCTAACTTAACCATTGGATAAAATTATAATTTAAATATTTAAAAACTTTTANCGACATTTACAAGATTTTCATATTTACCCATATTATCTTAAAGCAATTTGAAATAAAAATTAAATGATTTTTTTTTATCCTTACTATTTGAAGACGATTTCATACTAAATATTTTTATATTCAAACGTAATTTTAAAAAATATAGCTTGTTAAACCTCAAAAGTTAATTAACTAAACACCAACAAATAATAATTTTAATAAGATTGCACTGTTGGGCCCGTATACGGGTCTTTGCTCATCTAGTAAATTGAATAAAGAAGATAATTTTTTTAATTTAAAAAAGTAGAATTTGCCTATATATTTAGTAGTTTTTAGTATTAGTTTCACATGAATTTACCACATAATCAGAGTATTAATGTAATTTGTTGAAAATATTAAGTGTAAGTAAAATTGTTCTTCAAAAAAGTTACTCATAAATGTTTAAAAAAATGCTATATAGAACAATTGCAAAAAGACGTATTCAATTTTTGTACGAACGTCTCAAATAGTTGACTTTTTAAGTGATTTAGTTAATATAAAATTGTAATTGGTTCTATAATCCTAAATTTTAGGTACATAAATTAAATAAGGAAAGATTTAATAACCAAATTTTAATAAATTTCTAAGTCCTAAATATAGAAAAATAATTAAACAATTATTTTGTCTAGTATAAAATTTATTTTTAAAGGGTAAAAAAGGCACATGATATTTCGCTAAGTGCCTTCGTGCTTTTAATATAGTATAGATAAAGAACAAATCTCAATCATCAAATTGTCAAAATAATAATAAATTTAATAAATTTATTTTGCAACTAATGATAAGAAGAAGAAACTCTAAGTACAAAAAAGAAGAAAATAGCAGTAAAAAAGAATATAAAAGTGCATGTATTTGAAGTTATGTGAAGATTGGCCATCAATTAAACTTTTTTTAAAAACTGATATAAATCATCTTATATGAGGCAAAACTGGGTGCCACATTATAATTGGAATAAAAAAAAAAAAAGAACTTGAGAAAATGAGGAAAATTATAATTTGTTAAAGGACCGTATATTTGGAAATTCATGAGAATAGTATAAAGAGCAGCCATTGTTGAACAGGGAAACCACTGCGTTTGACAAAAAGAAGATTAGAGCCGCCTCCTGAAGTCCTTTCTCTCCATTCTTGAACTAGTCTCACTTCAAACAGCTATAGTTGATTGAACCTACAAAGGTGAGTTCACACCATTCAATTATATCTTCATGCATTCACTATTTATACTCAATTTTCCACAAATCTAATCGTAATCTCAACAACCCCAGTCCATAAATTGTTTGTTGTTTCAATTACTTAACGTGAAATCTCATACAACTATATCTTGGTTCTTGGTTGAGGTAGTAAAGAATCTTCTTGAGTCAGTTTCATCTGTTAAAGGTTTGATCTTGACAACCCAGTTCATAAATTTTTCCTTGTTTCATTTACTTGAAGTAAATTTCATCAGTTAAATGATATGGAAAATCTTGGTACTTGGTTTAGGTAGTACTACTAGTAGTAGTAGTTTTGTTTTGGATAAGTTTAATCTGTCAAAGTTATGATCTTTATTTGTGATTGTTTAGTGGCTGAATCGATTTAATCTGCGAAAGATTTGATTTTTTTATGATTGTTTGGTGTTTGATTCTAATCTGGCCTAGATTCTTGGATTTTGCTATGAGTTGCTCATTGTGTTCCACTGGATGTTTTATGATTGAATTGTTTCAGTAGCTGGCGGATTTAATTGTATCGGTGGTTTTTAATTCGTGGATCGCCTAGTTCCTTTTCCCCCCTGTGTGTGTCTTTGTGGGACATTTTTTGCTACTTCTTGTGCTTTTAGGTTTTAGGTAAGAATGTGGACTTTTACTTTTTCGTTTCATCGGATGGGGAATCTAGCGATTTACTTGGTTCTTTTGTTTGCAAAGATCACCCTTTTGTCTACACTTTTTAGTATTTCATGATAATCTAATCTATTTTGTCCTACTTGCTGTTTGGTAAAGCAATTCGAACTCGATTTTCTACTTTTTCTTCCCTGATCTGTTTAATAATGTGGTTATTCAGTTCTCAAAAATTGTGGCTGAATTCTTTTTTCGGCCTTGTTTCATGCCTCAGCATGAATTTATGGTGTTAACCAAATCATCGGCCATTTTCTCAGATTTTGTGTTGGTATTGACCTTCTTGAGTTCATTTAGTAAGTTCATAAATTGAGTCAGTTAATTAGTTTTTCCACTAAGCTCGTATGTTGACTCTACTTTGATTCGAGAATTGTCTATACAAGGGTTCTGTAGCATTTTATTTCTATACAAATTGAAGGTAAACAGTGAATGTGAGTTTGAGATGGACAGTGTTATTGAACACCCTATTCTAGTGCATTTGTTTTCATTGTTTTTGTCTCCTTCTTTTCATAGGTTTTCCTCATGAGTAAGAGAGTTGTCTGTAAAATCACTTGTGTAAATTTTCACTGGTATCATTCTTGTTGTCCGCAAATCTGTCTTTTAAAGTCATACTAAATGAATCTGAATTGCCATTTCCTTGAATTTTGTTTTTGAATTTATAAGCGAATTATGAAGGGACAGTTCAATCTATTTCTAATAATGGAATTTTCAGTCACCAGATATCTTTACCTGACTTCTAATAGTGAAGTTGTTGTCCGTCTTGAGCATCTTTCACTAAATTAACATTCAACCATTCGTAGTGTTTTTGACTGATGCAAATCCGTAGGAATCAGGTATCTCTGGTTTATTTGCTCAATCCTAAGACCAAATGACCAGTACAGATATAAGAGTGGCAGGGTTTGAAGAATCTGCTTTAGAAGTTGTTGTGATCTATTATCTCTATTGCTGCTCTATGTCTCTTTGAACCTTTTCTGTTTTCATTTCATTGTAAGGAAAAAATATGAAATTCTCACATCCTCCTATAACAGGTAACCAACATGGCTACACCGACAAGAATTGGTCTTGCTGGGCTTGCTGTTATGGGACAAAATCTTGCTCTCAATATTGCTGAGAAAGGATTTCCTATATCTGTTTACAACCGATCCACTTCAAAAGTTGACGAGACCGTTGAACGAGCTAAAAAGGAAGGAAATCTTCCTCTTTATGGCTTTCATGATCCAGAGTCCTTTGTACTCTCTATCCAAAAGCCCCGTGTCATAATCATTCTTGTCAAGGCCGGTTCACCAGTTGATCAGACCATCAAAACCCTTTCTGCTTACATGGAGAAAGGAGACTGTATCATTGATGGTGGCAATGAATGGTATGAGAACACTGAGAGGAGAGAGAAAGAAATGGCCGAGAAGGGTCTTCTTTATCTAGGAATGGGAGTTTCAGGCGGTGAAGAGGGTGCTCGCAACGGACCCTCACTGATGCCTGGAGGCTCTTTTGAAGCGTACAAGAACATAGAGGACATCTTGCTAAAGGTTGCAGCTCAAGTCGACAGTGGCCCTTGTGTTACATATATTGGTGAAGGAGGTTCCGGAAATTTTGTTAAGATGGTTCATAATGGAATTGAATATGGTGACATGCAGTTAATTGCAGAAGCTTATGATGTGCTAAAATCTGTTGGCAAGCTCTCTAATGATGAATTACAACAAGTCTTCTCGGACTGGAACAAAGGAGAGCTTCTGAGCTTCTTGATTGAAATCACAGCTGATATATTTGGAATCAAGGATGATAAAGGAGACGGGTATCTTGTAGACAAAGTTTTGGATAAAACTGGGATGAAAGGTACTGGTAAATGGACCGTTCAGCAAGCTGCTGAGCTGTCAGTTGCTGCACCCACAATAGCTTCATCATTGGATTCAAGATTCCTTAGTGGATTAAAGGATGAAAGGGTTCAAGCAGCTAAAGTATTTAAAGCTAGCGGGGTTAGTGATGTCCTTGTTGACCAGTCCGTGGGTAAGAATCAGTTGATTGACGATGTGAGGAAGGCACTTTATGCATCCAAAATATGTAGCTATGCTCAGGGCATGAATTTGATAAGGGCAAAGAGCGTTGAAAAGGGATGGGATTTGAAACTAGGGGAGCTTGCTAGGATTTGGAAGGGTGGTTGTATTATCCGTGCTATATTTTTGGATCGGATCAAGGGGGCTTATGACAGAAACCCGGATCTTGCTAATCTACTTGTGGATGAAGAGTTTGCAAAAGAGATGGTTGAACGACAGTCTGCTTGGCGAAGAGTAGTCTGCCTAGCTATCAACTCGGGTATTAGTACACCGGGTATGTCTTCAAGTCTTGCTTACTTTGACTCGTACAGGAGGGAAAGACTTCCTGCCAATTTGATTCAAGCTCAGAGAGATTACTTTGGTGCTCATACATATGAGAGGATTGATGTGCCGGGGTCTTACCATACCGAGTGGTTCAAGATTGCGAGACAGTCAAAGAACTGAGGTCTTTTGATGTTTTCTTTTTACTTGACCTAATTGAATAAGGTTCGTATTGTCATTGAATCTGGGAGGTTAGATTCTGTAGTATCATGTTGTCATGTGGTCTCTCAAATGTTGGAACTTTACCTATGTTGTTGTGAAGCCTATTTGTATCTTTAAGGTGTTGGCCCTTTTCTTTCATTTATGTCCTTTAAGTTACATGTGCTGGGGAAGCCTATAATATCTTCTCCAGTCCTTTGTTTTGCAATATGAATCTATGATGATGTGCACTTCTCATTATCTTTTGTTATTTGAGTCAATTTCTCTTCTCCTTCATCTTACATATTTCAAATGTTGTGCTTGCTAGTGTCTGATTCAGTTGAAATGTTTTGAGTATTACCTGGGAACCGTCACATACACCCGTTCGTGTCATCAAAATCAGGAAAGCTCTGTGCTTTGCAAATTTTCCCTTGTGTTTTTTATTAACAGGCAATTGAACCTTTATATAATTTTCATAATACATAGTGATTGTCATTCTCTGCAGCTAAGGATCCTTTCATTTATTTCAGAAAATTGCCATGCTCCAAGTTCCGGTCTCATTTTCCTCATGCTGATACTAAAATCTCGGGAAAGTATCTTTTCCCTTGGACAAGTTGTAAGGGGAAATTTACCAGCTAAATGATGTGTCTTGTCACAGAAACAAGGTTGCTAAATGCTAATCTCTTACACTAAAACTATCTGTTTATTTGTGGAACTGAATTTAGGTCCTTTGCCTACTGACACATCTTGACATTTCAAGTCATGATTTTAACCTTTCAGGATGTAAAGTGCGTTATGTTCTCTTTTTGCTTTCTCTGCACACGTTCAACATTGAACCGCGAAATTTTTTGGTGTTTGAAATTCTCATTAGTAGCAGGAAAGGGAGGGAAACGGATACTCACTTTAATGTGAGTAAGCAGAATTCCATACTTGATCTCATAGATACATATAGAATTCTGCGGAAAGCCAGATTGACCAAAGACTGGGAGTAGTCGTCATCTTTTTACATAGTAGTCATCCAACAAGAAAAGGAAAGACCACTTAGCGCAGTGGAATAGGAAAGAGAGCGTTGAGCATGGCTTTCGTGTCACCAGAAATCCTTTTTTGTTTATTGGGAGACCAAATGAAAAAGGCTAGGTGGACGCAGCATATTGCTGCCGGGTTCATTTGAACCCATACTTTTGGTGCGGAACATAAATTTATGTATAAAATTTCATTAAAACTGTAACAAATAGTCGATATGAACCTATAATTTTAAAAATGCAACGGGTTCAATGCTAATAACTTTAAAGGTTGAATCCAGAGAGTTTAAATCTGCTCAGTACCAGATTTTGAGCAGTTGTCCCTACTAAGTTTGTGATTCATGATCCTGACTTTGGTTCAACTATTGTGGAGCTTTCACATTTCTTATTGGTTTTTCCTTGGAATCTAAATTTAGAAAATCATCTATTTATCAGTTTCTTCTGACTCATACTTTCTTCAGGTGAGTTCTGAAGAGTGGCTCTTAAGCATAAACTAATTTGCTAGTTGTTGTTATAGATAACTTAATATCCATATCATGTCATTATCTACCATGACACTGACTCTATTGATTGGACATATCCAAGATCTTGTACTTCAAGCATGAATTAGTTTTCTATTTTTTGTAATAGATATCTTAATATTCCGCTCTTGTAATCATTGTACCTTGCTATGGCTCTCCTGACGTCGCCCTGTGAATTTCCAATCAATAGATGGTCCGCGGAGCCTGAATGCAAATGTTTGGATGCTAATTTAAAACATTTCAATTTTCAAATTGTCGTACTAAGTAGTAACATTCTAGCAGGACTGTATAGACTTTTGCAGTTGCTCATCCTAATGTGATTTGAACTCTTTGACTTGTATTTGTAACTGGAAGTAGTCATACCTCTTTTCTTATTTGTTTATTGAGAGGAAACTTAGCTGTATCTGCTATTTTTGTTTCAGAAATCAGACTTATTGTGTCCTGAAACCATATATAAAGATCCTATACTTATTCCCTCCTGTCAACTGAGTTAGAAAAAAATATTTTATTTTTCTTACCTCATTGATGTAATAGTTATAAACAAGAAAAGATATAGTGGCTCACTGTCCCCCTCAAATCTAATATTTTCTCCTAGATGTTGATCTGCTACATGCATAATCTATTCTGTTCTTTGCTTTGTGTCCTGAATCTTCTTTTACTGCTTTTATATTTGTATCATACAGTTTCTTCTTCACCTGTCCGCGGCGTTCCTTGCTTGAAAGCTTTGTTGTTTCTTTCTCTGCATGCTTAAATTGAAACTTCCCATGACTTCTATCGATGCTTGTGCATATTTCTTGACGACCTGGACCAGACGAGGCATCCGAAACTAAGGAGTCATCACTCTCGCCATCTTCATTGTCATCATCGTCATTATCATTGTAAAGATACTTATCTCTCTTCCTCGAATTTCTTTCATCACCATTATCGTAGTCTTCTTGATTATATTGATGAATAGGTGAAGCGATATACATTGTCCATGCCGACTCGTTGCTGCATTCTTCTGTGCCTCCAGAGAGTTTAGATGACTCCATTACCTCAAACTAGTAAACAAAAGACATTCAAGAAGAAATGTGACTTATCTGTATGATGGAATAGAATTGACTCTGTTATTTAGCTTTTGCATCTTTATAAACTCTCTGAACTTTATTAGCAGTGGACAGTTGTTTTCAACATACAGTTAAAGTAACCCCACAAAGTACTAACAAAATAGAGTTTGGGTTGTCCTTTTCATTCAGTAGTTCATCATACCAACCTAATTTTTTTTATATTTATTTTACATTTATAATAGTGGTGTTTGGGCCAACTTTCACGTACCTCGACTATTCCACAAGGTATTTACTATTTCCATCAACACATGTGTCAGGCTCTATCCACCATAGCTTAGACAGGTAAATCCAACTATGTGCTTTGGCGTTTCGTGTGAAGTTAAGATAGGATAGGGTGAAGGATGAAATCAAACGCTTTTGCACTTTTTTTTTTACGAAGTGGAGGTTGAATTAAATCATAATTTACAGAATAGCGACTCAACAGTTGAACCTTTTGTGATTTGAAACATGATTGGAAATCCAAAGGAGAAAATCTTGCTTTGATTGTTGTCCAATGGCAGTATTTTATGGGTCTTCCCCACTTAAATTTTTTATCTTGGCTTATTATCTATTAAGACTAGACTAGAAGGTTCATTACATGATTTTCAGCCTATGTATAGAGGCTACCTCTTGTGCTGATTAAGGGCAGCCCGGTGCACAAAGCATTTCGCATTCACGCAGGGTCCGAGGAAAGACCGCGCCAAGGGGTGTTATGTAGACAGTCTACCCTTATGCAAGCATTAGTGGCTGCTTCCACGGCCCGAACCCGTGACCTATATGTCATACGGAGCCAACTTTACGTTGCTCCAAGGCTCCCCTTCACCTCTTGTGCTAATTAAATCTTGAAAATTGAGATCTTTCTTGCTTTCTGGGCTCCATCTCGGATAATCTTTTGGAAGTTTTGAAGTATGAGGACAAGATTTCTTTTGCTGGGGAATTGATTCAACATCTTGTTTGCTTTCATCATGTGTTTCAACATTTAAATTATTGCAATCAGATTTTATGTGCACGGAAAATGATGCTTTAACTTGCAATTCTGTGCATATGATTTTTCTTCAAGTTCTTGTGGACTATATAGTTACACATCAACAAGAAACCTTTCTTCTACTGTGGTTGGAATAGAGCTTTAACACCCTTAATGTGACAGGTGAGATAAATGCATTGCACTTGACTTTATTAGCACCAATAATACAACATATAAAGTCCATATTCTGATAGATAATACAAATATTCCTATCAGAAAAATGACCAAAAAATGGCACGAGTGCATGACCACACAAAGTGAAGAGAGACATCCCTAATTAGTCACTCAGTGTCTTTCATTTGATGTGCCTGCTGTAGAAAGTGATTGTGCAGATGAAAGCAGAAAACAAAAGATTGGACAGCCAACTACCTGCTGCTAACTATGCAATGACAACAATGGCGTTCGCAGAATTTTGTATAAACTGCATCGACCAATTATCACAAGTCAGCTTGTATGTAGATCTGTATCTATAAAGGTTCTAAGATTTTACTTCTTGTCACAAATTAATGTTTATTTATGTTAATTGAAGCAGTGTCTTTTCAACAAATTGATGTCGGACTATACTCCAATGGCATTCTTAGTTATGAGCAACGCCTTGTATATATGACATTATGTTGCCTGAAAATATTCATAATGAGTAGTCCATGCTGCTGCTGCAACAACAACAACAACAACCCAGTAATAATCCCACTAATAGGGTCAGGGGAGGATAGAGTGTACGCAGACTTTACCCCTACCCATGAGCAGGGGCGGATTTAGGGGGGCGCAAGGGGGTTCACCCGAACCCCCTTCGCCGAAAAATTACATTGTATATATAAGGCAAAATCTGGTCTTTATCTCTATATATTAAGTTTTGAACCCCCTTAACACAACCCAAAAGTGTAGTTTAGTGGTCAAGGGGATTCAAAATCTTCGTAAGGTCACAAGTTCAATTCCCACTAGCTACAAAAAAATATTTATTCACCCTTCTTCTTGGAGATCCTGCCTCCGCCACTGCCCATGAGTAGTCCATGCCTCTTTAGAAAAGATTTTGTATCAATTGCGCATGGACCCAAATGATCGGTGCAAGACAACTTTCTGGATTCCAATGCTCAATAGTCAATACGAATGGATCATTATGCCTTTTGGGCTTTGCAACATCAATGTTCCAAAGCCTTGGCTCAAATCTTAAGCAAAGAACGTACACAAATTTAAGCTGGGTCCTCCCCGACCTCAAATCTTAACCACCAGTCCGACTATTGAGCCTTTGGTAGTGCAAAATCCAAGAAAAATTCAGGAATTCAACACAATGTATCTCAAACAATATGAAAGGATCACCACAATAATAGTTACTAGGTTTTGAACCTATAAAGGTTTAAACTCCAGTAATCGTTATTGTTGATTGAACCTATAAAGGTTTAAACAAACTTCAATAATTGTTGCTCGGCTTTGAACATATAAAAGTTTGAACCCCAATAATTGTTGCTGGGGTGTGAACCTAAAAGGAATATTTTCACCAATGGTATCTCTTTTGAACTCAAGAATAGTACCTTGGAGTTTCAACTTGTGAAGTTAAAACTCATGTCATGGATTTCAAAATAAGGTACCATTGCCAAAAATATTTGAACCTAATTCCGGTACAATGTCCATCAATGTAAGATCCTGACGATTCCTCAGGATATAGCTACCTAATACTAGCCGCGAAGCTATTTTTACCCTGAAAAACTTTGCTCTTTTTCCTTCTCTCTTCCAGTTCTCCCCCTCTACTTTATTTGACAGGGGCGGAGAATAGGGATTCAACTTGCGAAATGCTTTATCATTCTTAAATAAATTAATGGGGGTCACAAGTTAAACAATACACTAAAAAAAATACTATTTGTGCAAATCTCCCAAGAATGTGAAGTTAATGAAAATATCTAGACATGATAAAATATATCCATTTCAGCAAACAATGACTATACTCTGAATCATAGTATGCCCTAGGCTTAAGCATGAAGCAAATGCTTTCGTATGGAGGCGTTAACTTCATAATATCACTTGAAAGTGTTGAAAGCCTGTTTCAAATAAGAAATAGATCTTGAGAAGTGTCCTAATTTTGTCTTTAGAAAATGTTGGAGTTTCAATCTCCTAAGACTTGTGGAGTGTACTTAATTGAATAAGTGTGAATTTCGTAAATCTAAGGAGCTAAACCCTGAACAATTTACAAAGAGTTAGTCTAGACTATAAAAAGAGAAAGATGAGTATTGTTATTTCTTCTTCAATGCCTTACAATCGGAATTGTTCTCTTTTAAGTAGTTTTTAATCCCTCTCTAACACCTAACTATTGTAACCACTATAACAGCTTTCTAACAACCTCTAACTGCCAACTAGTGATATTTGCTAAGATACCCCCTGACTTTCTATGATATCCCTTTACTACCCTATGTACATTATTGTCACATAACAACTTTCCCCCCTTCCCCTCTCTCAAGAGTCCTTGTCCTCAAGGACAAAGTTTGGAAATTGTTGTCGCAAGGTATGCAAGTCTACCCATGTGCTATCTTCAGTGGGACAATTAAACCACTTTCACCAAAAGTTGTGTAACCTGTGTGTTATTCTTGGAGAGTATTCTTCTATCTAAAACCCCTTCAGGCTTTAATATATGTACCCGTGAGGAGAGAGGGTGATCGACAGGTTGGGCATAGCTGGGGCATTACCAATCTGTAACTTCAATTGAGAGACATGGAATGTATGGTGAATCTTTGCCTGCGGAGGAGGGTCCAACTAATAGGCCACAATGCCTACTCGTTTGATGATCTTGAAGGGCCCAAAGTATTTTGGACTCAGCTTGTGGTAAGAGTGATTCTTCAAGGACACTTGCCTGTATGGTTGCAGCTTTACAAAAACCATGTCACATTCGTTAAAGCTCCTAAGAGTTCTATGTTTATCAGCTTGAGCCTTCATCCTAGATTGAGCTAACAAGAGGTGATGCTTGAGTAGTTTCTCTGGCCTACAAACTCCTGTCAACTTAGTCGACCATTGAACCGTGAGGAATATAAGGCAGGTGGAGAGCTGGTTTTTGGCCATATAAAACTTCAAAATGAGTCATTTTTATAGTAGAATGGTAGGTGGTATTGTACCACCATTCGGCTAAGGGAAGATACTGCACCCAATCCTTGGGTCTATCACTGCACATGCACCTCAAATAACTCTCCAAACACTTATTCACCACTTCTGTTTGCCCATCTGATTGGGGATGATAGGCTATAGAGTGGTGCAAATGAACCCCCTAAGCCTCAAAAAGGGCCTGCTAGAATGTACTCAGAAAAATAGTATCCCTGTCACTCATTATAGTTTGGGGCAACCCATGTAACTTGTATACATTATCTAAGAAAGCTTGGTCAACTATTAATGCAGTATATGGATGAAATAAACTGATAAAGTGAGCATATTTGCCAAGCCTATCAATAACCACCAATACTAAAGACTTATTATGAGACTTAGGTAGTCCCTCAATAAAGTCTAAAATGATGTCTTGCCATACCTTTTTTTGGAATGGATAGGGGTTGCAACAGGCCTGGAGACTTTACATTCTCACCCATACACCTTTGGCAAGTGTCACAACTCTTGATGTGTTCATAAACTCCAGGCTTCATCTTTTTCCAATAATAGACTTGACTGACTCTATGCAAAGTAGCAGCCATCCCTGTATGACCTCTAACAGCACTATCATGAAAGAAATGCAAAATATCATCCCTGAGAATCTTGTCAGGTCCAACCACTATCTTTCCCTTCTTGTATATGATGCCATTTTTTAGCCAATAGATAGGATTAGCTAATGCACCCTTGGATTGCCAGCTGTTGTAAGTGTTGATCTCCAGCATAAGATGACAACACCCTTGCAAGGAAGTCTGAAGACATAGTAGAAATTGTTAATAGTTGAATGCTATTCATAGGGAACCTTGATAGAGCATCTGCTGCCACATTCTCTTTTCCCTTCTTGTACATGATGTTGTAGTCATATCCCATAAGTTTAGAAACCCATTTTTGCTGACTGGGAGTAGATATCCTCTGCTCTAAAAGGTACTTGAGGCTCTGGTGGTCTGTCTTGATAAGGAAGTGCCTACTAATGAGGTATGGTCTCCATTTATCTACTGCAGTTACAATAGCCATCATTTACTTTTCATATACTGAGAGGTGTTGCTGCTTATCTGCAATACCTTGCTCAAATAAGCTAGAGGATGATCTTCTTGCATCAATACAGCTCCTATTCCATATCCACATGCATCAGTTTCAATAATGAATTCTTGGGAGAAATTTGGAAGTGCCAGTACTGGTGTTGTACTCATAGCCACCTTCAGAGCCTCAAATGCTTTAGTTGCTGCCTTAGACCACTAAAACCCGTCATTCTTTAGGAGATGAGTCAGGGGTCTAGCTATCGTACCATACACCCTTCACAAACCTCCTATAGTACCCTGTTAATCCTAGAAATCCCCTAAGTTCTTTCACAGTCTTGGGCACAGGCCACTCAACCATCACCTTCACCTTCCCTGGATCAGCTGCCACTCTCTGTTGAGTGATAATGTGGCCCAAGTACTCAACCTCTATCTGACCAAAAGTACACTTGCTAAGCTTTACAAACAGATTGTTATCCTCCAAGATTCTAAAAGCTTGCTCTAAGTGTACTAAGTGTGATGACCAGGAAGGGTTGTATATTAAGATGTCATCAAAGAATACCAGTATAAACTTACTTAAGAAGGGTTGGAATATGTGGTTCATCAAACTTTGAAAAGTAGATGGTGCATTGGTCAATTCGAAGGGCATAACTGCAAACTCATAGTGCCCATTATGAGATCTAAAGGCTGTCTTCTCAATATCCTGGCAAGCCATCCTAATCTGGTGATAACCAAATGTTAAATCTAGTTTTGAAAAGAATTTTGCCTCCTCCCCTAGTTCATCTAACAGTTCCTCTATCACAGGAATGGGAAATTTGTCCTTTACAGTGCAACTATTTAACTGTCTATAGTCTATACAGAGTCTCCATGTGCCATCCTTTTTTTTTTACCATAATAATAGGTTAGGAATAGGGACTTACACTGGCCTGATAACACCGGAATCCAGTATCTCCTTGATCATTCTTTCTATCTCATCCTTTTGGTTAGAAGCATACCTGTAAGGTCTAACATTGACAGGTGAGGTTCCCTCTTTGAGTATAATCCTGTGATCATGGCTTCTGTGAGGATGTAAGGCACTAGGTGTTTCGAAGAGAGCAATGTGTTTGCTCAATAACCTCTGCAGGTCATCAGAGTCTTGCACCTGCTGGGAATTCAGAGTAGCAAGTTCACCCCTGATTGGTTGAACATAGGCTGTGATCATCACGCTCAACTCTCCAGATTTGTGCAGCACCTTTGAATTTTGTGATTATCCAACAACTTAGGAGCTCTTGGTTCACTACCTATGAGTGACACTATTTTACCCCAATCTGGAAATCCATCTTAAACTGCCTGAAGTTCCATTTTATGTCCCCTAAGGTGACCAACCAATGTATCCCCAGAACAACATCAACCCCTCCTAGAGGCATGACTAACATGTCAGCCCTGAGTTCCACTCCTTGCATCTTCCATGTAATTCCCTTGCTCATGTAGCTACTGTGAATCTTGCTGCCATTGACAACCGCCACAGAGAATGGAGGGATAGTTTCCAGCCTGCACCCTAACCTTTTGGCAACAT